CAGTGATAGACATTTATTTAAAGTTCCAAACATAAATATATGTACTAAGAATATAAGCAGGCATGGTATATTAAGTATATTAATTTTTTATTGGTGCTGTAACAAATTGCCGTGAATTAATGACTTAACACCATCTCCTGGTTAGGTAGATAGGAAGCTCAAGCACAGAGTGCACACCTGGGTGCTCTGCCTAAAGTCCTTCCAGGCTGCAGGCATGGTGTCAGCAAGCACTGTGTTCCTTTAATTTGTATTTCCAGGAATGAACCACTTCCAGCCTCAGAATGAAGGCTGAATTTCATTCCTTTGGGTTGTAGGACTGAGGTTCCTGTTTCTTCATCCTCTGCCCGTTGGATCTGCTCTTGCTTCTAGAGCTACCTGCGTTACTGCTCACCCTGTCTGTGTGTCATGCTCTGAGCAAGGAGGGGTCAGATCTTCTCATGCTTTGATTCTCTTTGCCTCCACGTTTGACATCTGTCTCTCACACTAATGGGAGAAAATTCTCTGCTTTCAAGGATTCATGTGATTAGATCAGAATACCCTAGATTGTCCAGGATAATCTCTCTACTTTAAGATCTGGGACCGAATGTCATCTGCAAAGTCCGTTTTGCCGTATAAGGTAGCATGTTCATAGGCTTTGAGGATTAAAGTGTGGACACTGGGGGGGGCGGTATTCCTTCCTGCAAGTTGCAGTGTTCTTACTCTAAGATAGTGGCTACCTATGGGGAGGGAAAGATTAACAAATGATATAAAGAAAACTTCAAATCCATTTTTCTGTTTTTGAAAAATAATCTGAAGCAAATATGGCAACAGTATAATAAATAAAAAGGAACCCATACTTTATCACATCATAATAAAATTACTGAAAATCAAAAGACAAAATATTAAAAAATACCAAAAGAAAAAAAAAACTAACTTTAGAGAAAATAAAGTTACATGAACAACTAACTTCTTAAGAGAAATGTCAGACTAACAAGACAACATAGAGTGATATCTTCAAAGTACTAAATAAAAAACATTTTCCCCATTAGAGTTCTTATGTATATTAATAATAAACCACATATACTGCATAATGTATCCAGTTATTGCACTATATCCCATAAATATGTGTGACTAAAATAATAATAATTAGTAATAAAATAAAATAGTATGGAGTTTAAAAAATAAAGTTGAAAGAAATTTCTCACTAGAAGACTTGCACTAAATGAAAATTTTAGAGGAAGAGTTCAAGAAGAAAGGAAATGCTTATACATTGAAGTTGTTTTTCTATCTTTTTTTCCACCAACAACGCTATTATTTTATTTTATTATTTATTTATTTTTTTGGTAGCGAGAATCAAACTCAGTATCTTGTGCTTGCCAGGCTGGTGCTATGCTACAGAGCTATATCTCCAGCTACTGTCCAGTTTTATTAACCAAGTAGCATTTAGTAAGATTGGGACAGAATTAGGATTGAAAGTGAACAGATGCAACAAGGTTGCAACAATTTGAAAGAAGCCCCTACATATTCCTTTCACAAATATGTTTTCACAGAGCTAATACAGTACTAGCCAGTAACCCAGTATACCAAATACACTGAAGTGGAAAAGGAATAATAAGGAAAATGGCTACATTTGAAAGACCAACATTTTAGAAAAAAGTAAAACACTTTTAGTTTCTTCCCTGTAGCCCCTCAAACAGCATCTTACAGTCTGGATCCACCTATGGAGTCATACCTCAGCTTCTGGAATATTTGTCAGGAGGGAAAAAAATAAAATAAAGCTGGCCAGTACAGTCTTTGGACATTTGGGAAATGGAAGAGGGGGAAGTTTTCAGAATAGATTAGTTAGCTTCAGTTCATTAGCAGGCTCTTAGGATTCTTTGTTCTTTTGGACTTCTTCTGTGTGTTTATCCTCTCTCGCAGTCCAGTGTGGCAGTCATTTGTGTCTCTCAGTTCTTTGTTAGCTCCCATTTTGTGGGTTATTTTGTCTTCTGCCATTTTACTGAAGTTGTTGTCTCTTCTATTGCTTTTTCTGAACCACTTCATTCTCATAATTTCTTTTCTCAACAAGCTGCTTCAGGACTTCAGCTTCATGGGACATGCAGCTTCTAATGTTTTCTGAAATTCCTCCAGAAATTTGGAAGGGAAAGGGAGTGGGATGGATTCTCTTGACCAAGGGTTGAGGATCAGATCAAAAGCCTGGCCTGAAGCTCACTTCTCCAGTTCTTTCACCGGAACATCAGAAGCCATAGTAAATAGAAGACAAGATTCTCCAGTGCATTCTACACAGTCCACTGGCAAGGAAAGCTCTGCTCAGTCTGACCTGCCCACCAGCACTCTATTCCTTTCTACTTTCTGGTTCACCAAAACCTCTTCATCTTTGTCTAATTTGTATCAAACTTGTCCATTGGAAGCTTAGTTTTAGTTATCAAGCTTTTCAGTTCTAGATGTGTAACAGTTGAGTAGAAAAAAGTAAAGATGGGGTAAATTTAAATTATCATTGACTAATAATTTCATATGTGATAATAGAATTATATCTTTGATGTATATTAATTCAATATATTAATAACTATGTCTTTAACATATAATTATATAGTGTTAGTAAGATATCTATTCTGAAGAAAAGCTGTGCGTCACTTAACCTCAGTTCGAATTCTCAGAGGAATCAGCTAGTAACCATTTTTCACTAATGAGCCCAAAGTTTTCCCGAGGCAGAACTTTCTCACAATCAGAATGGACTCAGCTGCCCCTGAGCTTTCAGATTGCCCCTTGCCTGTCCCAGTGGCCACCTTAACCGAGAGCACTTATGGATGCCTAACCTGAGCCTTCTTTGCTAGCACTATATTAACAGCCACAGAGAGGTGATGGTGTCATTATGCTGTGCTGGGGGAGTATGAATGAAGTTGCTGTAATGGCTTTTCAAGTTTTGTTGGGCTTTTCAAGTCTTCCTCTTTTTATGGTTTTAAGGGGTCATTAAGGGATAAAAGCAAAAATGCTGTCAAAATTTTGAAAATGCTTTGAAGTCTTTATTTGCAAGTGATTTTGAGGACTGTGCTTATATATATTTCCTGATTCACAAAAGGTCTTAGGTAGAAAAAGCAGTGTCAATCCTAAGACTGGATAGTTGTCATACACTTTCCCTCTTAGGAATTTCTTCTGAGTCAAGAAGTGTATTCACTGCCCCAGAAAGCAGGCTGTACTCTGCACCGGGAAAAGACAGGATACGGTGAGCTTCCCTTTGATGCTTTTCTCCGCTACTAGAGTCCCTCAGTTTCAGCTGTCATTCTCCAGCCAGGCACTTCCTTTTCCCTGGCGTCCGTTTGTCTGATGTTTGTCTCCTGGAATGGGAGTACCTTCCTTGTCCTCTCTGCTATGGTGCTAATTTCTGCTACCTAAGATATTTTGGTCTGCTCCTCAAAATCATTTCTTTTCCTCCTTTTAGGAAAATTATGCAGTTAGGCCTGATGTGAAGAAAAGAGAATCTGATGCTTTTTCGGCACCTCTGTTGTCATCAGTACTATACTCAAGCTCGTAAGTGTTTACAGCCTTCCATGGTTGTCATTTTTAGCTTCCGTTTTACATGTGGGACAAATGAGATGAGATCTCTCCTATATCTTGCTACAGTCCTTGTTTCTTGTGCTGAATGCGCATACCAGAAACCTGGGAACTTGTGGAGGTCAATAGTAGAGAGCTGTCTACAAAATTTGGGCAGGGGAAAACAAGGACACCAGTGACAAACCGGTATTCAAAAGGAACTCCACACATGCAAAGTTCAGAGATGAATCATATCTTTAATTATAGATGTGTCCTATAATTATACTATGAGATATGTGGAGGTTCAGGGTAGGGCAAGAGACATTGTTTTGGGGCAGACCTCACCAGCTGACAACCTTTTCCTCCCTGGCCTTTGCTACCTAGCTTACTGCAAGTCTTATATGTCTAAAATCCCTTACTGATTCCCAGCCAGTTTGCTGTCTTAGTAGTAAAGCCTTGTACCATTCTCCTTCTGAACCATTCTTTGGAAAATACTCCACTTAATTGTATCAGTAACTGAACACATAATGATAGCATTCTCAGAGCTGTTTCTGGTCTAAATTTGGACTGAGTTTAAATAAATGATGCATGAGAATGGTGATATTGCATCAATAGGCTAAAAAAAGGTGATGATTTTATTTATTTCCATACCCTTAACTTTAGCAGAGTATATAACCTATGTACTCTGCTGAAGTTCCGACCTATGAAGAAATCTGGCCCCTGTCACGGCACAATTTTCATTTGCCCTTTGAGAAAATATTCTTTGTAAGATTTTCTTTATGCTTGGGCCTTTATTTATAAGGGTGAAAATTTCCCTACAGTTTAAAAAATTTCGGGTGTGAGTGAGGTTCCACCTGGAGATGAATAGAAGGGAAGGGTCTTGTCTCTGCTGTACCCCAAATTACCAGATGGCTAGAGTGTGTCCCCACGTGGGGTTAGTGTCTTGTGTCAGTTATTGCACCTGTGGGGCAGCTCTGTGCTTCCTTCTTCTCATTGTTTCTCTTTATCCTTGCTCTACAAATCTCCACCCACTGTTCCTTTTCACGTTCCACTTTTGAGTCCCCTTAAATATTTGCTGAAAAACAGAAGCCACTGGATGGGAGCTGCTTACTGCCCAACAGCGGACCCTCTGAGCTCGTGTGTGTTTAATGGATGCAGCAAACCCGCTCCCACCGGAGGCCACGCTCTGCTTCTGCTCTGAAACCTGCTACTCTGCCTCTCCCAGAGACACTGTGCCGGCAGTTTCTTCTTTTTCCTCTTGCAATCTCAGCCTGTCTGCTAGATTAAAAAAAATCTTTAAGTAGGTCTAGCAGTAAAAGAATAATAACAAATTCTGAAGCACTTAAGATAGATCAATAAAGATGAATGGGGTACTGATCTGGGATTAGGGTGTTGCAGAAATAATTATCACAGGGTTTAGGAAATCAAGAGACTCAGGGAAATTTATCATTCCTGAGTGTGCATTTTTCAGAAGGTGTGATACTCAGTGAATGAAAAAGAGGGTTAGAGCACTTAGATGTTTGCTAGGCATAAGAGGAGGCTTCACCGAATTTATTTCTTACATTCCAAAGAGAATACTGAAGGTAAGGAGAAACCACAGCACTGTCCCTGAGTTCACCCTCCTTGGGCTGCCTGTGGACACCCAGACTGACGCCCTGCTCTTTGTGCTGTTCCTGGTGATTTACCTCCTGACCACGGTGGGGAACCTGACGCTGCTGGTGGTGGTCAGTACTGATTCCCGCCTCCACACACCCATGTACTTCTTCCTGGGACAACTGTCTTTCTTGGATCTTTGCCACTCCTCTGTCACTGTGCCTAAGCTGTTGGAGAAGCTGCTGTCTGAGAGGAAAACTATCTCAGTGGAGGGCTGCCGCGCGCAGGTCTCCTTCGTGTTTGCCACAGGGGGCACCGAATCCTGCTTACTTACTGTGATGGCCTACCACCACTATGCTGCCGTCAGCTCTCCTCTGCTCTGTGGCCAGGTGGTGAACAGACAGCTGTGTGTAGGGCTGGTGCCAGGTGCCTGGGGCTTGGCTTTTATGGATGCTTTCATCAACATCCCTGTAGCTCTCAATTTACACTTCTGTGATGCCCAAAACATCCTCCACTTCATCTGTGAGCTGCCCTCTCTCTATCCTTTGTCTTGCTCAGATGTATCTGCAAGTTTTACCACCCTGCTCTGCTCTAGTCTCCTGCATTTCGTTGGAAATTTTCTTCTGATGTTTTCCTATGTTCGCATTGTACTCACCATCTTGAGCATCAGCTCTGCCTCGGGAAGAGGCAAAGCCTTCTCCACCTGCTCCTCCCACCTCACTGTGGTGCTCTTTTTTTACGGCTCAAGATTACTCCGTTATCTCATGCCAAATTCAGGATCCATTCAAGAGATGATCTTCTCCTTGCCGTACAGTGTGGTCACTCCCATGCTGAATCCCCTCATCTACAGCCTGAAGAACAAGGAGGTGAAGGCAGCTGTGGGAAGATTGTGGAGAAAATATTCTTCACTTTTCAAATAATAGACTACAAAATCAGAATGATGAGCAAATTTGCTGCAACTGCAATAAACAGTGTCTAGACATTGAGGAGGATCTCCAGATATCTGGATCTATACAATACCTTATTTTTCTCTTTAAAAATACTTACGAAAATGTAGGAAGTTATTTTCTTGGAATGATATCAGTTTAGTCCTACTTAGAGGAAGATAGAAGCATAAGATGTATATTTTCTTCAGCAATTTTAAAAAATAAAAGTACTATAATTATGACACGATATGATAGACATTGGTACTGCCTACTCCATCTATCTTTACCATTCTGCCAGAAACTAGTCTGGGCCTGCGATATGGTTCCAGAGCAGCTGTTCATCACGGTGTCCAAAGCCTCTCCCCCCAGCATAGCCATTATTCTTCCTGGCAGAGGGGCTGTTTTGGGAACCAGTATGCAGTCAATGTTACTGTCCTAGGAAATTTTAATCTTGAGGAAAGATTCCGAAAAAGAAAGGTCAGGTACTGTATTTGCAGCACTTGTACAGCCTATGCTAGTGCTCCTGCTGACAGGAGGTACCCTAGGTTCTATTCTTTCAAGGCCAGATATATAAACATGAATTATAATAAGAGCGTACTCAGATATTCGCGCCATGTCATGCACTGTTAAGCTACTTACATGCTTTACTCCATTTAAATATTACAATAAATGCATTAACTGAATGTTTTACTCATTCCTATTTCAGAGAAGAGGAAACTGACTCAGAGTTAAGCTATGAGATAGAATTTAGAACCAAGTAGACTTATACCAAAGCCTATTTTCTTTACTAGCTTAATAACTGATCCTCTGCGTGACACTGTACATTACTCTGGCTCAATGAATCCCATTTTAAATATTTATTGCTACTTTTGTCTTTTTTATGTTTTAAAGTAAGTCAGAATTAGATTCTGTCATTAGTAAGGAAAGGACCTAAAAGAAATATATGGATACCTCAATGGAATTTCAGGTATAGCATTCGTGATATTTGGAACTGTTTATTGCAGCTAGACTGGTTCAATGGAGAATACAGATAACATATGTGTACAAACTACAAACTACTTCTCCAATGGTTGAGCATCTCTAGATGTGAAGGAACCCCTTGCAGGAGCTGATTCCCCAGCTCACACACATTACCAGACAAGAAATGCTGCCACTCAGCCTTCACAGAGCTGTGGAAATGAAATAGCAGACACAAGCAAGCCAATGTCAGAGCAAGTTTAGATGGAGTCTGCAGGAAACACCAAGAAGAAACCAGTAGCATTTCAGCAGCGATGCCTTAGATCATGAGAAGAAATTAGAAGACTGCTGAGAAGGAGATTTGGTATAGGTGTATGGACTAAATTGATAATGTTAAAAAATTATTATTTCTTCCTAAAGTTACATTTTAATTTTTACTCACAAGCTATCAATTGCCATCCTTCTTTCAGTTTGTATTCCTCAGGGGTGCAGAATATAAATTAGAGAAAACAGGGACATTATCTACCATCTTCAGTATTTTTTCAAAAACATTACAATAGTTACCAACATTCTAGTTGTGTAAAAAGTATATTTTGAGTGTTCAAGTAATGGGGTAAGAAACAGAATATGTTTAAGATAAATCCTCACTAAAGGGGCCCCACTGCTCAAGTATAATAGACAAATACAGTAATCTGCCTTGCAAATCACAATCCTTTCTTGATCAGCCTAGTCTGGTACACGAACGCAAAAACACTGCAGCTATAGCTGGGCAAGGTGGTAATTATGCAAATGATCAACATTTTAGTTCACCAAGACTGATCTACCACTGGTGAAAATTATTTTGATAAAGGTCATACATAAGTTTTCTCAGAAATATTACCAGATACTTTTTAGTTTTTGTTTCTATTGGATTAAAAATTCAAGTGTATTGGTTAGTTATAATATATAGAAATGTCTTGGTATCTTGTATCTTGACCTTGTATCCATGAACCTTGTTGAGCTCTGTTCTTAGTTCTAGTTACTTGCTTATAGACACTAATTAATTCACATGTGTAAACATAACATTGTTTCCCTAGTGTGACAAGCTGAATGAATAAATAAGATCCAAAATTCACAATAGATATTGTGAAATGGGAAGAAACTTTTCAAAAGGAAAGAGAAACTGTGATGGGGAAAAGGAGAAAGGAAGGAAGAGAAAAGGGAAAAATACAAGAGTTATAGTACTAGTTTCTCTTAGTTTACTGAAGATAAAGTTTTTTGCTAACATAGTTTGGAGAATTTTTTTATGCCCATATCTTGTATTCTGAATAACTATTTTGAAAATAACAGTACTCAACGTATTAACTATTGTTATTTTCCTATTATTTTGTTTTGAAATTTTGTTTTATTTTTTTATAAAAATTTTAATGTACATCTAATGATTTCAGCTTAAATAAAAGGGAAGAATTTTTATATGCAATTTTTATATATCTCATTTTTATAGTTAATGGCCAGAATGTCTAATGTGGATACTTTTCTCATTGGAATCAATGAGAAAACTGCAAAGTGGTAGGAAATTAACAATGGCTGTTGTATGTATGTTTTTCTTCTTTTATTTTTAAAATAAATTTTAAAAAATTTAAAAACATGAGACTAATTCTCATGTTTTGGCTCTAAGGATGGTGTTCTATTCTGGGTGACTATATTAATCAAGAGAGGTCTTTTCTAATCATTTTTAATAATAATTGGTGAGAAATTTTGTCAAATGCTTTTTCTGCTTCTGTTGAGGACAAGGATTCTCTTTTGTGTGCTACTGTATAGCATCCATCATACAATAGCCATATAGATGTGTTATGTATGTGTACCTACTCCCCGATGAATGTAATCATTATGCATTGTAAACATGTACTAACAAGAATACAATGGATGTAAAATGATAGGAAAACACTCAAGGGTAAAGGGAAACTGGGGTGTGGGAAAAGAAAAGGGGAAGAAGGAGAAAATTTGTATGTAGGTATATACAGGATAGTTAACATAGTTGTTCTACTGTCTTCTTATTTCTTTGCTGAAAGAAACTGTCAATGAGTCCTTGGTTTGTTAATTTCCTACCACTTTGTTTGTCACTCTGTATTGTCTGTACTGTTCTTTTGCTATTTTGTAAAAGGTTGTCTGTCTATTAATGTTTTCCTCCTTTTATTTTTTAAATAAAAAAAGAATACAGTGGAACAAATAAATGTGGAATAAAAATTGTTTGAAATGATCGTATGGTTTTATTATTTAATTTGGTAGCCATAAGTTGTATAGGTACAGGTGTTCTCTTGTTGAAGAATTATTGCATTCCTGGAATCATGCTACTTAAGCAGAGTATTAAAAGAGCAATTAACTTTTATAAAAATTTATCTTAAAATATTTCTACATATATTCATAAGTATATTTTTGTATTTATTTTACCTATTCTTTTTACCAAGTTTATTGAGATTAAGATCCACACACAAATTCACCTTGTCAGAGTATATAAACCAGTGCTCTATAGAACATTCTCAGAGTTGTGAAACTATCCCTGTAACCCAATTTTGGAGCATTTTCATCACCTCAAAAGAAACCGTACATATATTTTCTTTAAAAATTTTTAAATTAGTTTTTAAATTGGTAAAGTTGTCTATCAATGATTACACGGTAAGAGGTATAAAGTGATGTTTTAGAGTATGTGTACATTGTAGAACAGTTAAATTTAGTTAATTAACATATTATTACTTCAAAACTAGATATTATTTCTGTGATGTGAACACTGTAGTATTCTTTTTGTGTTTTTCAAGAATACAATATATAATTATGAACTATCATCACCATGATGCACAATGAGATTATTCCATCTATGTAACTGTAACTATGAGTCCTTTAACCAACATTTCACCACCACTCTATCCTCCACCCAGCCACTCCAGCTTCTGGTAACCACCACTGTACTCTCTTCATCTGTGTTACAGTTTGGATCTTAAATCTTCCCTCTAAGGCTCATGTGCTAAAGGCCTTTTCCCAAGAGTGGTGCAGTCTTTAAGAGGGGCATAATAGATCTTCAGATCGCAGGAGCTGTGCCCTTGAAGTGGGGAGTAGGACCCCAGTTTCTCCACTTTCTCTCTCTTTTTTAAAAAATTTAAACAGTAAAAGAAGGATAACATAATAATAGGGGG